ATGGATATTTCGGAAATGAAACGCGAGCCACAAAAAAAAATACTTCAGATCAGTGTACAGCGACCAAAAATATACCTTGTACAAATTAGTAATGAAATCAAAGATGATAGAACATAACAGTTATGTATTACACGAACTACATAGTACATATAAAAATAGTCTAAGTAGATAGGTAGGTACTTTAAGTATTTATAGGTACTTAAATATATATGAAACGGTATCTAGTAGCTCTAATAAGTAATAAATAATACTGTACCTATGTGAAAATAATGTTTACTGTTACTCATACATAACTTTAAGTAAAATATACGACATTTACACTGAAAGAGAACCCAACGTTGTTTCAATACAGAATTAATGACTCCATTGTCAGAGGTGAAACAACTCAAAAAGATCTAGGTGTTTTATTTGATGGATGAGAGGCTGGGCTTTACAGAACATATTGTAAGCAAAACTAATCAGGCACACAGGACGATGGGATTCATCATCAGAACTGCCAAGGCTTTTGATGTGGAGGTCTGCACGAGATTGTTTGACAGTCTGGTGCTTCCCAAACTGGAATATGCAAGCATTATCTGGTCACCTCTATATGAGGTCTGAAGTAAGTCATTGGAAAGAATTCAGAGGAAATTCCTGAAACATATGTTTCTTAAAAGATATGGGTACTATCCACCACAACAATACAGTCACTGCACCCTGTTGAAACTTTTCAATAGGTCTCTAGAAAATAGAAGAAAAAAATAAATAAATCTGACCTATCTCAAAATCCTTAAAAAACAAGTAGAATATCCAGCTCATTTATCAGTAGATCTACTGATTTGGCCACTGGTCTACTGATATACTGATGTCAATGTAAATTCTATGGATAAAAGCCGTTATCATCAACAAGTTATTTAAATAGGTACAAATGAGTGATTTGTTGCGGAACTTATGGGTAGACCTCTGCGGGACGAGCGCAGCGAGTTCCGCAGCTATCTATTCATCAATATGTTGTTTAATTACGATACTAACCCGACTCACTCAAATGTGAGTTATTCTCATACGTTTTAAAACTACATGTTTCAGGTGAATGTCTTACTTGAATAGTCAACAGTATATTGGTAAGTAGATGGCTGCGGAACTCGCTGCGCTCGTCCCGCAGAGGTCCACCCATAAGTTCCGCAATAATCCACTTATTTGTACTTGAACAATCACTTATTATATAAAGTAAGAATTTGTAAGATTATGATTATTCACTTTTTGTCCATTCACCTTTCAAAAGAAATTAGTAATGTTACTTTACCAAACTAGTAATATAATGTGACAAGTTATTCAAGAACAAACGAGTGGATTGTTGCGGAACTTATGGGTGGACCCAGCCATCTATTCACCAATAAAGTACGTACAATACTAACCTGATTCATTCAGTTATGAATTTTACTCCTTAGTTCAAAAACTCAGTTTCATGTGATTGTTTTTTTTTGAACAGTTCAACAGTATATTGATGAGTAGATGGCTGCGGAACTCGCTGCGCTCGTCCCGCAGAGGGTCACCCATAAATTCCGCAATAATCCACTTATTTGTACAGGATGTTTTTTTTATATATTGACACTCCACCTACCTCCTTTACCTTTACAGGTACAAAAAAGGTGTTGATACAAAAGTTGTACAGTTTTGGCTGAATTTTTAGAAACCATGGTCAGAAACAAAATTTGAATGTCAGGAATGTGAAATTTTGCATGCTTCTAGTTTTTTTCAAATGGGATGTCCTATATTTCATTATATATACGGACATAAGGAGTAGGAACGCGTCATTTTGCCCATGAAACTAAAGTGAAGCCAAGTTTTTGGCAGGTGTTTGGCACCAAAATACAGGTAAAGCATTTTATTGCCTATACCGCCATTTTTTTGGTGCCAAAATACCTGGAAAAATCATGCTTCATTTTCTAACACCATGTACTACTCCTTTTTACTTTTACCTGCTCTAAGAATTTGGTCTTTGGTTTAGGCAACTTATCTGTCTACTGATTTCTACTGATATTTAGACTGGTAATCTACTGACAAAACAAAATATGGCCTGGCAACACTGACTTGAGGTCAAGTGACTACCCTTATGGCCAAGGATAGGATAATACACACTACTAAGGATTGCTTATCGGCCTTGTTTTTGGTAATCGCGGTCATATGGTGTAGCACCATTGCCGACGTCATTAATTAGGTCGTCAGCTGTTTGCGCAAGCGGTTGTTTAGAATTTAAATTTATGATGAAAAATAATATTTAATTTTGATTAACATAATAGGCGACGAGGAAGATGCAAACGAGATATGAAAAATAGTAATTTTAGAATATTAATTTATGTAGGAGAACCAAGTTTGCATAAAGCAAAAGCCCGCGGAATCATAACTCGTGATGCAAACACCCAACATCAATACGAGAAACCACACGCTCCCTGCGTTATCACTGATGCTTTGGCATACCGGGGGGCTTGAGATTTGAACTACACAGGCCTTATGAGGATAGGCTATCCTGTAAATAGTAGTGTGTATTATCCTTCAAAACAGCCTACGTCCAGGGAAGAAACGACACGCTGCCTACGTCATTACTAATAATTTGGTGTGGTGGAAGGCTTGAAATTTGATCTACACAGGCCTTATGAGGATAAGTTATGCTGTAGTAGTAGTGTGTATTATCTCGACAAAATGGGTACCAAGATTATATGTAAAAATCGTGTTGTGAGATTTGAAACCGTGTAAAAACGTGTAATTTGACCAACATATCGTGTAATTTCGCAAATTCAGATTGGCAACACTGATGATTTCCTTGCAAAGCTACCCTTTGCCATAAACGTGGGTGGCAGCAGACAGAAGAAGGCGCTCTATTCAAATTTTCCTCGAACAAACTCTTATAAGGCGTCTCCTATGCCTAGTATGTGTAACCTTTTTAATATTTTTTTCTAGCGACCTGGACTTGGACCTGCTTAATTTAAAGGCTTTCACATAGGTTTTGATTGTCATGTTATACTCCTTTTGTACTTTTAGATTTAAGCTTTGATTAAATTGATTAGATTGTTTAAATGTATCTGTAGCAGGCAATTTGCTGTAGATACTGTGATGAAATAAATAAATAAATAAATTTGCTGAGTACTTAGCTCAGCTCTGGGTGAAAGCAACGATTTTTTACACCATTTATGGGGCCCTCCAAAATCTAGAGAGAATTCATTTTGTATCTGCTCGAACTTTTGGAGGATTTTGTTCATTTTCTATATTATGAAGTTACAAAACAACTTTAATAACTGTGCTAATACATGTTAGAAAGAATTTGCAGTTAGAAGCTGTAAATTTATAACTTCACTAACTTACTAAAAGTGCATGCAAAAGCACTTTTAGTAAGTTAGTGAAGTTTTGTTTCGTTTCATCAAAAATCGCTTTGTTTTGTAACGATAGATTATTTTGTAAATTTACTTTTTGCACTATTTACATTTTTGATTTTTGATGTTTTGTACCTATATTCAATACTTAAATACTTTGCAAGTTCGATATTGTGCACATTCGATACTTCATTGCAGTTACAAGATTTTCCATAGTTACGATATTTTGCACTTTCGATATTCATTGGTTTTTTCTTTAAATTCGGAAATGCTTCAGAAAACACTTTCGATATATTAGAATATCGTAGTTTAAGATAGGTAATACATGGATTTATTTTGTATTTTCAATATTTCGTATCCAATATTTCATACTAGATATTTTGCGTAGTGATACCGCCGAAACGAGAGATTGTCGTCTCTTCTGTCGTCTCGACGAGATGAGAGACCGATTTTCTCTCTGAAAGTCACTTTAAGTCTCGAGACGAGACGAGAGAATGCCACTTATATATGACAAAAACGAAACCAGACGAAAAGAGAGACCGATTTTCTGTCGAAAACTCACTTCGAGATCCGTACCTAAATGTCCATACTAATTGAAAATATCAATATTTTCCAGAATCTTGAATATTATGGGGAATATTACATTTTTATATCTACATTTTTCTCAAGAAGCGAGAATAAATTTTTTTGCATTCTCCTAATCTCGGAGACGAAATTAACTTACTATATGTGTCAAAATTCACGAGAGATAATAGAAAACGAGACGAGACGAGAGAAGAGCTCTCTTCTCTCCTATCGAGGATCTCTGGACGAAACGACAGAGTTTCGAACCTGCGAGAGAAGACAAGAGAGAGTGTATTCTCGTCTCGGCTCGTCCCGCGGTATCACTGATTGTGCAGTTTGCTGAATACACAGAATCCACTTTTGTAGGTAATACATGAAGGTTCCCTGCATGAATGAATAGCTCCTAACAATTACCAAATTCAAAAAGCTGGAGTCAGTTTTGGCTTTCAAAAATTTTCCTAAAATACTGATCACTGATGGTTTTTGATGCACTAATCACCTCAAAGTAGTCATGAGAAGAAGAAGACGACAAATTTTGTTACGTTTAAAAATATTCAGTAACAAATTCAAGATTGGAGAAAGTGAAATTTCTTATTCTCAGCAACTGAATGTATAACTAATCTGTTGATCAATTGAATGGTTTGATTAACATAACAGACGTTATGGTGAGGTGAGACTGAAGAGATGTTGAACAACTTACTGGAGACCAAAAGGGAGCAAAAACAAATTTCCATAAATTCAAGATTGTTTTTTTCAATCAAGGAATCTTATTCGTTCAAAAATCAGAATCAAGAACCTCATTATTTTATCTGAAGATTTAAAAGCTGAAATTCAAATTTGTCAACCTATTTGCTTTTATGAAAAAAATTAAATTTACTGATTTAACATATCTATTAATATCTTATGGTTTCAAAAATAACTATTACACAAAAAAATCTCAAGCTGCCAATTGAACTTGTAACGTTCCCATTCAAAATAACAATATGTACATAGTTCTAATTGTGCAAACCAACAATGGATTCGATTATTGATAAAATGTAGGTAATAAATAATCTATAAAAATGTGAGAAATAAATTAAAATGCCACTCCAAATTTCGACAAAACGATTGTAGCGGTAGGCTTTAGGTTTCAGACCACGAGTTTTGGTGGCAACTTTTAAACATGTTTTTTAAAATTATTGGTTCTTTAGCTTTTTTGATCATTCACTTCCAATGGAGTCTGGAATCTTTGGAGAGTAGCGAAAGTACTTTAGTACTTACACATGTGGTAGGTGAGCAATATTTTAATACATATAAAAGGCATTTGATAAATAAACTAAAACTTATCAACCCCTTTTCTTTCAAATTTGCTTTTAGCTTTTTCGTCATGGAAATAGAACAGCTGACAAACATGAGCTCTATCCAAATGATCCTTATTTGAACGAAAATTATTATCCTTTTGGAAATGGACAACTCACCAAGGTAAGTAGGCGCCTTCTCGATTACATTTCAATGATTTTTTTTGGATTGTGTAGAAGTTCTACAATAATATTCTCGAGATGTGAACTCATATTCATATTACGCATTACGCTGAAATACACATCTTCATCTCAGTATGAGTTTAAACCCCATTTCTGAGTATTTTGTTGCAAGTTTTTAACTCAGTTATTTGATTTGCAAATCATTTCTGGACATATTTTAAACATCCTGAGTGATTTTGATTACATTCGCATTGTTTTTGAGCAGTTTTCAATTGATTTGTAATTTTTATTGACAAATACTTATGAGTTATTTCCTAAAATCTCTTATTGTTCTAGATAGGAAAACGCAAAGAATTCTCTATAGGCAAAGCTCTAAGAGAACGCTACAACAATTTCTTAGGCGACTACTATTATCCTGAAATCATTGAAGCACTTAGTACTGATTACAACCGCACTAAAATGTCTTTAGAATTAGTCCTAGCAGGTCTATTCCCGCCAAGAGCTGAAGACTTGTTTGAAGATTCTATCTTTTGGCAACCAGTACCGTTTAATTATTTACCAAAAGACAAAGATAAGGTTTTACTCGGTGTACTTTGTCCTAAGTATTTAGAAATTTATGAAGAAATTAGTAAGTCAGAAGAAATATTGCAAAAATTCGCTGCAAACTCAGAAGCATTCGCTTACATTTCTGCGCACAGTGGTTTAAATGCAACAAGGTTTTCCGACATTTACAATCTTTATTTTGGACTTTCAACTGAAGAAGAATGGGGTTTCGAGCTCCCCTATTGGACCAAACCAATTTGGCCTGCAAACATCACTAATTTAGCCATACAAGTAACTATAAAATATTCATTATTAAAGCACATTTTCATGAAAGATTTCAGGATTACTTCGTCTCGATGTACACTAGCGAAATGCGCCAAATGGCCTCGGGATACTTTTTGGAAAAACTAATCCAAGATACGAAAAAAAAGATTCTCAGCGGCAATTTTCCAGAAAGAAAGATGCATCTTTATTCGGCTCACGAAAACAATCTTGCAGAATTGCTGATGAGCTTGAACGTGTTCGATAAGCCTCACATACCGAATTATGGAGCTTGGATATCGATTGAGATACATTTTATCAATAACATTTATGGTGTAAAGGTAAGAATTGTAGCTGTATATTATTATACCTATGTAGAGTATATACAGGGTGTTACAAATTGGTGAGTAGTAAGCATGGGGATTTCGGTAACCATACAGTATGGCATTATCAAATTTGAATGTTTTGTCTTTGGGTCACCTTTTGTCAACCTTGTCAGAAAAAATATGAGATTTTATTTTTCGATTTTCATCAAAAGATGCCGGCGTAAACCCAGTCATTTCGATTGAGTTGAGACAGAGCACAAGCAAACAAACATTAAATTAGACTATTTTACAAATAATTCGCGCGTCGATTAAGCCTATTACACATTTCCATTTCATACTAATTAGTTATAGTACCTATTATTATAATATAATACTTTTATTTTGTTTACCAGGTTTTCTAATATTTAATATTTGTCTACATTTCACTCATATTTGTTAAATTTAATATTAGTTAAACATCTGTTTTTGTATTTGTGCAAATTTAATGCAAATATTTTATATGAAAAACTGCATTTACTTACAGACTTATTTTATTATTCTGGGTATTTTATTCGCTACTTTCAATTTAACACTGAATTGTTTCACTTGTTATTTGTTAGGTATAATATATACATACTCTTTGTACGACATTTATTGCCATTTCTGATACTGATTTACATTTAACATACCATATACATACAATGTTCTGGTATTGGCAATAGGTGGTAAATATTATAACGTTTTGTGACCCTTCACTGAGCGATTTCAATACTTGATTTTAGCTCATTTACTGTTATTTCTGGTAACTACGTTATACTTGTACCTTTATACTTTATTACCTTCTGATTTTTCTCATTACCTACATTTGTTGTTAGCCATAACTGTATGGTGATATATACTTATAAAACTTGTTTGCGTGTATGACTATTTTTATTTAGTTAGGGATATTTGAGTTGATACTTACTTGTGCTTCATTAACTGTTATTTAAATAACTAATTACCTAATTCTTTAAACTTTCACGATGTCTGACCCCAACACAACCAAACGTCGATGTACCAAGGGTTCATTAACTCGACTTATCAATCATCTCAATAAGGTTAAGGACGATGAAGTCTTAGATTCAATAGATTTACAGAGGCGATTAAACAGAGCTGAAGAACTCTTGGACTCATTTAATGAGGCTCAGTTGCTCATTGAAATTTCTGATCCTGACTGTGAAAAAAATTATGAAACTATACATGTAGTTGAACGACAAAAATTTGAAGATGAATTTTACTTTATCACAGCATGGATCAGGCAGTATTCACAGTTCAGGAACAACCGTAAAAACTTCTAATGTCCAATGACCTCCACTTAATTCACCAAGATTTGATGGATCTTTTGATCAATGGCCTTTCTTTCATGACATTTATATTTCAATAATCCATCAAAACACTATTTCCAAAGTACAAAAGTTTCATTATTTGTGCTTATCATCACAAGGAACTGCTGCTGATATTATTAATAAATCATTACAGATTTGTGACACCAATTATGACATGGCCTGGCAACTTCTTATTGAACGATATGAGAACACATCACTGTTGGTTCATAACCACATTAAAGTACTTCTTAATATTACCTCCCTTCCCAAAGAAACCTATCATGGTGGTCTCAGAAACATTTTAGACGAAACACTAAAACATTTGCGCTCTTTAAAGGTTCTTGGGTGTCCAACTGAAACAACAAAAATACACAATCTTCAACTTCTTCCCATATCAACCTCACCCAGGCTCAGGAAATACAAGTCTCACAAGACAGGTCACTATCATGTCATATTAATTTCCCAACTGATTCACCTATTAAACCACATATTTTATTGTCCACAGCCATTGTAAAGGTCTTCGATAAGAGTGGTAAACAAAATGACTGCAGAGTCCTACTTGACAATGGTTGTCAGTTTAGTTTCATTTCACAGAGACTCAGCAATATTTTGAAATTACCTAAACAGAGCATTAACATTACAGTTTCTGCGATCAATAATTTAAATCAAAATTTGAATTCTTTAGTTCAGATGAGATTCAAATCAGTTATTAATAATTTTGAGAGACAAATTTCTTGCTTAGTTTTACCTCAGATTACTGGAAATTTACCTTACACAAATCTTGATACTTCTTTATTAAACATTCCTACTGGCATCACACTGGCCGACCCAAGATTTGAAATTCCTGCTCCAGTTGATCTTCTCATAGGTGCTGATACATCTTGGGACCTTCTATAAGCATTGGTCAGATCAAAATTGGAAAAAATATGCCAACCCTACATAAGATCAAACTTGGCTGGATCATCTCTGGTCGACTACCCGTCAGTCCTCAAAATAGAACAGTACATTGTCACTTTTCAGCCAATGTTGATATTCAGAATCAACTTTTCAAATTCTGGAAAACTGAAGAGTGCCCAAAAACCAAATTTCTTTTTGAAGAAGAAACAAATTGTGAAACTCACTTCAAACAGCATGTTTCACAAAGTAAAGAAGGCAATCTTATCGTTGCAATTCCTTTGAATGTTTTGGGAGAATTTGAGAACACTGCTAGTAATCGTTTATTTTTTCTTGAGAGAAAACTTGACAAAAAACCACATGAAACAATAATACCATGCATTCATGGAGGAATATATCCATCCTAAACACCATGTCTCTTCCTGATAATCAGAACGATAAATCAGGTTTCTTCTGACCCCATCACTGTGTTTAAAAAGATTCGTCGACAACAACAAAATGAAGGCTAGTTTTCGATGGGTCTGCGAAATCTACATCTGGATATTCCCTGAATGACACAATGATGGTTGGGCTGACAATTCAGGATAATTTGTTCAATATTCTATTACGTTTTCGCAAACATAATTTTGTTTTAAGCGCTGACATAACAAAAATGTACAGATAAGTTTTTGTCAAACAGGTTTAACGTCATTTGCAGAAAATTCTTTGGAGATTCTCTATTAATGAGCACATTTCCATCTATACCTTGAATACCAGTACATATGGCACTGCTTCAGTTTCATTTTCAGCAATCAGAGCTCTCCACGAAGTAGCTTATCGCCATATAAAGAATATCCCAAACTTGCCTAGACAATTCTAAATGATTTTTATATGAACGATCTCCTAACTGGTTGCAATACTCTGTAAGAACTAATTCAAATTAAAAACGACATCTTACAGCTTGTTATCAAATATGGGTTTCCCTTAAGGAAACGGAAATCCAATCAGGAGTCAATACATGATTCTAAATCTAATTCTCCGAGTTACAATGGTAAAATCACGAATCGCCATATTCTATCTTGTATGCTCCCAGATATTCGTCCCTTTGGGACTTCTTGCCCCGGGGACAATTACAGCCAAACTTATTTTACAAAAACTCTGGAAATTACAAATTTCATGGGATGAGTCTATTCCCATGAACTCAGGGCCGCAACTAGAACCTTCGGCGCCCGAGGCAAGTCCAAATTTTGGCGCCCCTCCACCGCCTTCTCAAAAGTAACGATAGATATATTTATTTTTTGATGCTTTGGTTTTTGCTTGAATTTTTTTCAATACATTTTCGAAATATATAATTTAGACACATTAATAGCCGTTTGCACCGAGCATTTTAAGGTAGGTTTAACGATAATCAACGTTTAAAGGGACTTCATTACATGTAAAAATGTCACTTTAAACGTTGATTATCGTTAAACCTGCTTTAAAATGGTCGGTGCAAATGACCGTAAATCAATAGTATATTGTGGCCTAGGCCGGAAACGTGATTCCCGTATTGTTATTCATTGATTCCTTAGCAACTATTGAAACATGATGAAAATACCATAATAGGTTTGTTCCAGCAGGCTATCAGAAATGTTGGCAGCAGCTTGTGACATGCGCAATGACAAATTTGCGTTCCAGCAAAGAAATGTTGGTGACAATTTGCAAATGACAGCTGTTTCAGCAGCAGAAGTTTGAAACATTTATAACGTGTTGGCAACTGCTCAAAATGCTTGTCGATTTTCTTCAAACATTTCAATTCCTAACCTAACTTTGTCCTTCACCTTTGAAAGGTTCCACCTTTGATCGATTTTTTCAGAGAATAGGGCAATCCTATGAAAATGGCGGCCAATGCCAAGCGGCAAACAATGAAATTGGCGCCATAAATTTAATTCAAACAACCGAGACATTTTTCATCAAAAAACTGTTTTTTGTATATTTTGTGGTACATATTTTGAGGCGATTTTTTAGTGTTTGAAATTTCAAGATGGAAAGTTTTTATTCTATGAAGTTTTTTTACAATGTTATTAGTGGAATGCCCGGATGTTGGCAAAAGGTACGACTTCTTTTTAACAATCCTTTACCTACTAAACAATTAGGTACTCTCCAGGATTTGTTTTCTGTTTAGTTTTTTCGCACCCTAATCTTGAAGGTTATTGTCTGCTATTCGAGGTATCAACACAAGTTGAGGATAGTAAATGGCTTGGATCCATACAACGTTTATGTGGCGAGACTTTTTGGGTTTTTAAATGGATTTCATCAGATTTTTTCTCTCAATCCATGAAGCTCTACGAAGTACCGACAAATCGTTTTTTATCTGTTTAAAACCTGTGTTTTGTATCTGCAGGAACGGCATGAAACGAGACTTTGTCGCGATTAGAACGGCTCCGTACAATACATAACTTAGGCATTTTTCAAAAAATCAACACTTTACTTATTCGCAGATTTTACACAAATCAAAAACCGCAATAAAACGTAGTGTACCTATAAACAAGCACACCACACAGAGTACAGACGGTTGGCATTAGCCTCCATGTTAAACTTTTTTTTGACAGCTCGTTGAATTGCCTTATTGGGAAATGTCAAACATTTTCAATGGGTACATTCAGGCGGTCCCAGCGGCTAAGCTCAGCCACTCAGCAGGTACTTTATTCTCGAAACCAAGGAACAGTGTTCTCATAAGAACGATTGCTCTGTCATTGTCAATGTTGCGACCTGTCAACCGGTCAAAAATGCTGACATTTCTTGTTAATCGCAGAAAAA